AATCTTTATCATAAAGGTAACCGCAGTGTTTGATTATGTGGAGGACTATGCAATTCACTAAAGTTCTTGCGTAGATTCCTCTAACCGTTTGAGTGCGGTTTCTGAAAAGCTTCTGAATTTCTGGGACATTGTCCACATCTTTGAAAATTGTAGGAATGATATGTTGCATACAGAAATTGACAGCGATCGTGCAATGGGTTCTGATCTTTAGGACACGGTTGTGGCCACTAGGATGTCCTTTTATTTGCTTGATTGGCATTAACATAGGAATTTCTCGCGTGGAATGCAATTTTTACCGACGATCGCTTATGCGTGGGAATTAATTAATTGATTGCGGGGCATAAATACTCATCACGGCTTTCGAATCTTTATGTGGTCCGTTTTGAGTCGTTCACTTTGGTGAAAAAACGCCTGCAGATAGAAGCGTCAAGCTAGAGCTAGCAACAGCGTTCTTTTCCGAACTCGTCCTTTTCCTGCTTCGATTCAACTGTCACAGTTCTAACTAGAGCGTAGATGGTGAAAGCCACGGGTGGTGACGAGTTTCCTAGATTCTGCCATTACCGTCAAGCAAATTGCCACGAACCGCACAACTAGCGGGCTCGTGAACGTGTCAAATTTCTTCCTTGTGGTTCTATTAGGTAGGTCAAAAAGTATCCGCCGTTTTGCACCTCGAGTGTTCCCTGCATTTTTTGGCAGTTTTTTCGCAACTATTCAAACAACTTGGGTGTCATCTTATAGAGGAAGATCAGCCCTTTCATATTCATACGAAGGTTCGAGGTGATTCCGAGAACATTTGTCGTTTTACCCTCCTTTTTCGATAAGCAAAATCGTGATTTTCGACTGTTGCCACTTCATGTCTTCAAACTTGGAATTTACACGGCAGGGCCAGCTCAGCTGCGTTGAGAAAGAATGCAACTAAGCAACGCTTAGACCGACGTCACACTCGGCGACGGACAAGCGATGGAGCGATCGCGATCGCTCCATCGCTTGTCCGTCGCTTGCCAATCGCTCACCGAGAGCGATTGGCACAAGCGACGGGCGATGGCTCTGCTCGATCGATACCGCAGCCGACTGCATCGACTGGGGGCGGGGCCAATCGCCCGTCGCTTGTGCACTTTGCAAGCGATTGCGCAATCGCTTGCCAATCGCTCTTGGCAGAGCGATTGCAACGCGATGGACAAGCGATGGAGCGATCGCGTGTGACGTCGGTCTTAGCGCGAGATTAGTTTAAGCCTGGAAAAATAAAGCTCTAAAGTGATACACGTAGTGTAAGGAATACCCTCAATTAATAGGATTGTGCAAAAGAAATGAAAGGAAGCTTATCACTGATACCCAACTACAGGTGTGGTATTAGAGGTTGGGTCTCTAAAGGCACCGAAACTCAGCCTGGTGGACGCTGTGAGAAAGCAGGAAAAATGTCGTCAATCTATTCATCGAACTGACCCGTGCTGGCAGCTTGAATAGTTGCGACGCGCGTAGGAGACGATACGATGTGTATTGAACTATTCCTTGCAACAGTAAGGAACAGTTTCAAGATGGGTAATAGCGTAGGGTAAGACTATGCTTCTGCACGCTAACAGTGAAAGGGTTACTAAATATGTGGACGAAATTAAGCTGCCTTGGAACGTTGCAAAACCTGGAGCGCTTCCAATAAGGATTTCTCCTAAATTTCTGATGACCTAGCTCATTTCAAGATCCGAGAATTGAGCTCATTCGACGACGGCGGAGTCCTGTTGGAAAGAATAGAACATGAAAACATAAAAAACTACGGGGATGATAGCCTGCTTCAAGGAAAAAATGAGGTCCAATCTCTTCACCACGATAGCGCTAGACCGCCCACCGCAAAATAGTTCCTGTAAAATCCATTCGAAATACAGAAGTTTTTCTGCCATCCATTATATAGCCCAGGGATATCTCTTACGAATCACCTATACCCCGCTTCTCATGGTTATTCTTGAGGGAGAAAATGCGTTGAGAACTGAGATATGTCGAATGCCTTCCTGCAGCTTTTGGCCTACAATAATCTAAAGTTCCGTCGAAAGGAAGTTCTCAACATGGATCTGATTAGGAACAATGTAGTGAACATAGCTGTTTTAATTTCAAACCAAAAGGTTGTGTTTCAGCAAAGTTGTGGTGCTTCAAAGTTGGGGCTCAAAACGCGGCGAATAACTTTTTGAATATTTACAATATTAGTTGGTAAACTTGAAAGAATCATGTGGTTTTTAATCAACGATAATTTTAAGTGTAAAAGCCGTATCAAAACAAATAAACTCAAGTTTTTCAACCATGCATGTCACTCAGTCAGCTTTTGTTACGTAAAACATGGAGGCTTACCTCGTAGAACTGTTCCAGGTCTACTCCGAAGAGTTATGTACTCAATTCGCCGTATCATGTTATTGAATTTAATTTGTAGCCAGGAGCGCGGCATTGAAGCTGCACATGATAGTTTAGACTCGCCTCAGATCTACGACTTCTAGTGGGTGGAAGGTAGATCGTGTAACCCAACACCCGCATTTTCGTTGCGATGATTGTCGCGACATGATGTCCTGCATTATCGGCGCTATAATTTTATAATCGCCTGGATACCCCTAAGACAACGCAGACTGTCCACCGCGGCTGCTGTTTTCGTAAGTTCGGCCCTAACTATCCGAACCAACAATCATCTCTTCATGTATCTAGTCTACACTGTTTCCCCCTAGCACAGAGCAGGATTTTTTTCCGTGGATTGCCAGTTTCGAAGCCATCCTCAGCTGTATATCTGCTCCCTATCGAGGCCATCCTCTCACTTTGTTATCGGGAAATCCTCTTGTAAAGTGCGCTTTCAACAAAGTCTATAGCCATCTTAGTCTTGGAGTTATGGAAGAGAATGCCAGTATTGGCAACCAGTACTGCTTGTTGTCTCAGAATAGGCCGAACCCATTTTCTGTCCTGAAAGGTCTCACCAGTCGCACTAGAAACCTCTAAAATTTTAGTGTTGACACAGCCTAATCTCCCTAAGAGTTTCTGCGTAGTTTGGCGAGGGCTCAATTGGTTGGCTTTCTTTAATTCTTCATTTCTACAGGTACAGGTCAAAATCCACGCTCTTCGTCCCAGGTCCTTTACCTCAGTCTTGGAAGAGCTGAAACCATAGCTGAAAGTGCATCAGAGACTAAGTGTTACTGCTCAATGTTTTGCACACAATGAGTGGGATTCGTTGGCCGTTTTTCTTGCTTGAATATATACGCTCAGACGATGTTTTCTGATCAATCATCTTCGAGCAAAAGTTTTGGCTCGAAGAACATCCGCTCAGTGGCGCCTAAGATTTCGCAATATGCGTGCTGAATCGCTCTCTCGAATGAATGGTCTCCCATCCTAAGAGATTGTGTTTAAGCTGAGAAACAAAGGCACAAAAGGAAGCGACATTTCAAAGTTACCAACCTAATACATAGCTGCCTTCCAGGCCATTTAGGCTAAGAAATCGGCTGTACATATTTACAATCACGGGAAAGGTGGCCTTGTTGGTGAACCAGGATCTTTTTCCGAAATGGTACATTTTTGTATCGACGAGTTACCTCACAATGGAGTTTTTCACTCTTACTCTTTTATATTATGGTCGAATTTCCTTAAACCTTCGATTTTTTTTTCAGAACGTCGGAGTTGTGACGAGAGAAACCGATATGTGCTGTCTGATTTGTTTGATTCTGTTGACAATTTTCACCTTTCCGTTCGGCTTAGTATTTCTTTGTTGCTTGCCTTGCGCGATCACTCGCCGTTGTTCTAACTGTCTTAGAACCATGTGAGAATTCCGAAATCATTTCTCTGCCTCAAATTCTATCCCTTTGAGGGTTCACTTCATCTATTCATTGTTCGATTTTTTTTTGAAGAGTTAAACTACTATTCGAAAATATTCCATTTCTTCCCGAGAAATGGTTTCACAATCGAAGTATTTTATAAGTTTTCTCGTCATTTTTCAATCTTTCTCCAAGAAATGTCTTTTCTATGTATTTAAATTTTATTTCATTAGTAGAAATAATGCTTATGCATCTTATCGCCAAACAATTTGCGTTGTGTACTATAAAGGGTAATTCTTGTAGATTTAACTCTCTCGCCTTCATCTATGTGATAGTTTCGCCTTATATTGATCATATTATTACCAGCGATTCTATTTACTGCTTAAAACAATAAATATCTGGGAAGGATTTTGCGATTGAACGTTTATTGCTGACTGTACTATTAGCAGCAGGTACATCAAATACTATCAAACAGCAGGAATGTCCGGTACCCTGAGCACCTTGAGCAAAAGTTCGAATCCTTTCGGACGTGGGCAAAGCCTTCATGTATTGGCAGTCGACCTCTGGATCGATTTCTCCTTCCTTCTTTTGAATCCATACGAAGAGTGCATGTAGAAGTTTTTGTTCCATGTATTCACAGATCTCCTCGAAAACTGGTATCGTCACATAGCGTCGGCAAGCGTTCTGAAAATGGTACGATAAGAGTTGCTTTGTGAAAATGTGGAACTGATCGTGAGCTTGAAACTAGTGAGACCCCGGTCAGGCCAACCTCCTGTGAAAAATCGGAGGAAGTATTTTGGGGTGTTGTTTTGTGACCAGGGTAACATATTTTGCGAATTAGTTGTCGGTCAATGGTGACCGACAGCTTGAAAGTAAGCAAACTTAGATGGAACCCGCGACTTTTCTATTTCAACGTTTACTTCAGTGTCCTAACTTACTACACTTGTCTGCGAATTATGATCTTTCTAATTCCTGGGAGTTTTATTCTGAATTAGTTATCAGTGGCAGAAACGCGCTGTCAATTGAATCACAACCACAAAGTTCCCACCGTCAGCAAACTGGAAATCTCACTAAAATTGTTCATATCGACCTTTACTAATTAGGTCACCGTCAGTAGAACCACCAAAAAGTCAGCAATGAAAACTGATTTTTCCTAGTTTCCCTATTTTTTCTATTTTTCTGTGCTTTTTTTGTTTGCTTCCTATCTTAAAATTTTTTCTTCTCACTAGAATGATGACAACGTTCTCGAAAATGGTCGTAAGATAGGCTTTGATGTTGATTTTCGCAGTTGAAATCCGCTAAATATTCCCCTACGACTTTCCAAACAACGGCTTAACATCTAGCGTTCCAGGTGGTTGTTTGGAAGATCACGTAGGACAGTGGGCGGGCTCAATGGGGTTGGGGCGGCGCCAATGCTCCAACCTAGGCTCCTAGCGCCTAAACCTTATCAAATCGCCCGCCACTTCTGCACATGGTCTGCCCTTGCGTACTGCTGCATATTTGACGGGAAAACCTAAATTTCGCCAGAAATCCCCGAAATTTTGCCTTTAATTTTACAAAATGCAGATATGCTTGAAATAACGATTTCAGACCGTATTCTGACCCTTTTGTTGTACGTTTGTCTACGCGCTTTTTCTGATGCCGGTTGAGAATGTGAGAAGATTTCGTGAGTTTCCACCCTATTCGAAGTAGTAACAACTTTTCCTTGTTTCTAAACGTGTCTGGAGTACTCTAGTCAAAGGGGCATTTTTGTATTTCGAGATTTTACAGAGCTACAAAATAGAGATTTGCCCTGTAGTTACCGGGTGCTTTGCATGCAAAAAACGTCTCGTCCCATGCGCGAGCGGCCAACCAATCAACCATCAGAGGATGGAGGGCTAAACTATACTCTGATCGTCCACAAGCAATATCCTTGATCTTACATTACCTGTAGTAAGATTTGGTATATATCTTGTACTTTTGCACTCCAGTAATCGCGCTGTTCAGAACCGAGTTAGCGTACTATACCATACCCTAAAATCCCATAGATAAGAGCGGTCCATAGATATTTTTTCAAAAATAAAATAAAAATAAAAATATTTTTTCAAAATCATTTTTTACCGGTAAATTAAACCGCTCTTATCTATGGAATTTTACTGATCGAATGGGCTCTTCAAGTTCTATCCAGAGATCAAATTCCGGCATTTCTAGAGAGATTCCGGCAGAAATTCCGTTAAAATCGCTATTTTTCTATATGAATTGTTTATTAAGTGGGCGGGGTTTAGAGTTGAGGGACGGAGCTTCTTCTAAACTTCTTCTCCGATTTTTATTTATCCATCCATCAAGTTAGAGGGGTGACTGCATTCAATTTCAATTTCATTCCAATTCATTTTTCACCGGTAAATTAAACCGCTCTTATCTATGGGATTTTAGGGTAATTGTAAAAAGAGCTGAATGGTGATGGTTGGTGGTCGGAACTACGAACTACAAATCCTCGTATCTAAAACATAAAATGTTGCTAAACCATTCCTGTCATTAATTCCAGGATCCGATCCACAGTCGATATCCACGCGCTAAAACTCGACACCCGCCTTTTCATACAGGGGGGCCAAAAAAAGAGTCACTTTGCCTATGGCGCACATCATCAAATTTTTCTTCGCACAGAATGCCGCAGCTAATGAATGTTTTACGGCAGAATATTCCTTAGGTGTCCCCCCATAAGCAGAAGCAGCCCCTACTTCAATGCCCTCACGGTCTTCAGAATATGACGTCATCTGCCGTCGCCGTCAAGCTCAACGGGCTTACCGTAATCGCTCCGGCCTGAAGCTGCAACCTAATTTCTTCAATCGGTTAAGCGGTGAATAGCTTCCCAGAGACACTAGCTGTGACTGTGCAAGACCGCTTTTGACCGGCGTTTCAGGGACGTCGTAATGGTCTATGGTACCTCTTCGACGGTACGTCGTTGAGCTTCGTACCCGTGAAAAGTTTCCGTGGACGAAATTTTCGTGATGTCGTGCTCATAGAAGGCTGTCCATGTTACCTTTGAATGTGCTCCTTAATTATGCAGTTGGGCCTCATTTAGATTTGGTTTCGACTTTTCGAGATTATTGTCGTTGAATTTTGAAGAGCCCCGTGACTCTTTTTTTGCCCCCCCCCGTGTATATGGCGCACCACCTAACTGGCGAGACTAATTGGATGGCAGCTGATGGCTCTGTAAGGGTTGCTTTCATGCGCCGGTGGGCGACGTACAGAAAGCGCAAACAAAGCGATAGCATCAGTACGGCATCTGGCGTATGATTTAAGCACGCTGTCAGAGGTGCCTCTCCATTGCTAACCTCTCCAGTCATGCGCCAGCATCTTGTGTTGACGCTCTTCGCACTTTCGCAGTGTCCACAGTGTCTGCAGCGTCCGCACTGCCGCGTTTTCCGCGCCGTCGCCGAGTATGAAAGCCATCCTTAGAGGTCGCAGATAAGTCTGCATAGCGCCTATAGCACCCATAGACCACTAGACCACTGGTCAATATTTGTGGATTTCCTATATTGTGGTAGTATCGATCCAGTATCCAGTGCTCGTTCAACGGGAAGGAGGGGGTGGGGGAGTAGGTCGCAGACTAGCCTGCTGCTGCACAACCACACCCTTGCAGTCCACTCTCAGTACTTATTTAGGAGCCTCATACAATCATGGATCATACGCCAGAAAACTATCTGTGTTGATCATACTGAAGTGATATTCTACATTCTACATTTCGTAGTCTCATCTTTCTGGGACCATCACGTGTTTACGAATTGGAGCCGATTGGTTGTAAATAAAAACCATACAGTGGTTTAATTACGGTAACCAAAAAAGCGTTATCAAGGAGCCAAGTGATAAATTATTGAGCGTCTATTAGCGCTCTTATCTTCATCTACTTCTTCCAGATTTGGTGAACTCTAGTATTAGTTCATTTTAGTGGCGCTCATTGTTTTTGCCCTTTCAGAAGCATTACACATAGGCATACACCTCCGGTATCGCATCATGAATCGAAGCAAAGGAAGGAAAAGGACGATGCAGGCTTTCAGTGTAAGGGTTTACAAATTGCAGCACGTTTTCAGCGGATTTTATCGAAAAGAATGGGACTTAGAGCTCTTAATTGGCTCAATGTCACATTGTTGCTAATAATTCCTCGCTTTTGATAATTTAATTTTCCAGTTAATTTCATATGGCATAAAGGATCGAGTGAAGTGCTAGGAATGTTGATATTGCGCGTCAGCCATCAGTGTGTAGCAGGATCCAGAATTTGCTTGAAGGCACGGGTCGCAGTCGAATTGGTGCATTATTTTGTTCGAAAATTAGAAAGAAAATGCAAAGAGGAACGCTAGCGAGAAAAAAAAGCACCATAGAAAACATTGGAATTCTCCTTGTGAGGTCGACCGTGGTACCATGGGGAGAAAAAGCGGCAAGAGGGAAAAGACGCGACAGCAAATCTTGCGTTAGAGGGCGCAGGCGCCATTATGTCGCGATTGACAAGAGTGGCAGCGGTCGCAGCGGTGGAGGCGGCCAGCAGCTGTCAAGGAAGGCATAATCTTCCATTGTCGCGACTTTCAAATCGCGACAGTACCACAACAACTGTTATTAGAGACCCTACTTACCTACTCCAATTTGAATTAGAGAACCCCTCTGAAGTTTAATCGCGACACGTGCCTTTGAACGATCTCTAACGAAACACGAGGAGGATCCCATGTTCTCATAAGAATCCGCTCATGTTTCGAGTTCATGTCGGAGTTCATGTCGGACTGTTCTGAAGAAGATTTCTAAAGCACCCTTTGAAGAATGATTACACGATAAGGTCGAAGGTTGAAGGAGCGGAAACTTACCCAGTGGAGCGAGATGCACATCCGCTGAAGAGTGCGGCCCGACGTGCAATCGCAGCGAAAGAAAATGTGGCCCCGAGGCGCATCTGGCACGTGGACCGTCACCGCGCGACGCAGTTATCGGCCGCTGCCGCGCCCCACACAACTGTCATCGGCTGCCGTAGAATCTGAGCGTTAGCG